GGTAACTACAGAAATGGATCGAAATGAAAGTCTTTTCATTTCGATCCGTTTCTGTAGTTACCCGATTTTATTTTATTTTATTTTTTTTGGAATTTACTCATTACTATTATTATTGTTATTATTATTATTAGTATTATTACTATTATTTTTTTCATCATTACTATTATTATTATTATTATTATATGAAAGTGTTCATCCGCAATATTTGTGAAACAGATTTTATTTCGTGGTGAGATGGACAATGAGTCTAATTAATAAAATTGATTATTACAAAATTTTAACTTGTAATAATAGTCACTTTATTGCTCAAAAGAATATCCCATAGAGAGACAAAAAAAAAACAACTTTATTGCTCAAAAGAATATCTCATAGAGAGACAAAAAAAAAAACGCACCCAGGACAAAAATGTGACATCGCACAGGTTAGAAAAAAGGAACACACCTTTTTTTAAACAGTTATAAAAAGAGAGAACATAATTTCCTTGATATTAATTAACTTTAATCTTTGACATTAATTAACTTAAATCTCTGACATTAATTTTAATTAGTAAAACGATTATTACTTTTTCTACAATTTGAAGTGCTATTTTGATTAATTTCTGGAATTCTCCATTTTTGATAAAATGTAATCAGTTTGAGATCGATTAAATCCGACCTTTGCTTATAATAGGTCATTTCATTTTTTTCACGGTTTTTCATGATTTATTTTGTCCTTTTTTAACTAAGCTATTTCCAATTGTTTTACGTTGTTACCTCCATTTGCCCTTTGCCTCTACTGTGAACTTTGGGAATTTTATACCCAGTAAAGTGCGGAGATCTTCAGAAGCCACAATGCATGGGTGCACAGGGTAGGTACGCAACAAAATTATTATTTTTTTTCAGATATTCCATGTAGGCTTGAATTAGTTTTGATTGAACTGTGTTCCATTGAAAATCTGGATGTCTCAATGTTTTGATTATTATACTGTACTCCAGTTGCCACTAATAACTACTCTGTATGTTTAATGTGATAAATAGCTTTTGTAGATGTTTAACTGTTGTGCGCGACTCACAAAAACTTTGCTCGTTATCTTAAAGACTCTGAAAATGCAGGCTTGATTAAAATGTAACTTTACACTCGTGCAGAACGTTCTATACACCACATTACATGGTCTTTTCTATGATGAAGTTTTCAAATACAAAAAACCATGGGTTTTTTTTTGTTTTTGTTTTTTGTTTTGTTTTTTCTTTTTTGCTTAAGATTGTCAAATTCAAAGACTGCCATTATTGAACATCGACAGTAGAGTGGTTATTTTCCCAGCTGCTGTAGCACACAGCTAACTGCTTGTTGGTGGGTATAGACCTCTGTATTCAATGGGGTAATGACTCACTTAACTTGCATGTAGGGCCTCTAAACAATATTCTACCGGCTTTAAGATTTACTGCATTCTCATACAAATAACGAAAGCCGAAGTCTTTCTCAACAGTCTTCCCATTCTTTTTCATTCAATGTTTCATTGCTAACAAGAAAAACATTTTCTGAAATGTGACTACTTCCTTACTCATCACAAGTGGGGACTGGCATGGATGGCTATTGTTTGCTATGTTTTATTGTTAAATAATAATAATTAATTAAATGATAATAAATTAATTGTTTTTGTATAATGGAAGTACAGGTCTTCCTCTAATTAAAGAACATCCAATTGAAGACCACCTTTCTGCAGTTCCAAATGGACATTATCTTTTATCTTCATAATAAATAATAATACTGTAAATGCTCGAATAAGCGCCACTCTGGAATAAGCGACGCACCAAACATGATTTTTTTTTCTCGAATAAGCGCCGCGGCACTTAATCAAGAGTAATTATATTACCTTGTGTGTAATGAAACAGGGGCTTTAAATACAGTGTATACAGTGTTAACATGAATAACTAACACTAAGAAGACACCAGCTTTTCTTTATAAATGTCTGTTTACGATGATAGGACCTATGATTGGCTTACTGAACTACGGAAATATGTGAAATAGGTAACATGGGAACAGGCATGGAAAGCGACACGCCAATATTTTTATAAGCGCCGCTCTCGAATAAGCGCCGCACTGAAGCCTCAAGCATTTACGGTAAGACCAAAACTGCCTTAGACTAGGAAGACCTAGATCTTAAAAGTGGTCTTTAAGTGGAGGGAGACCCTGTATGATGCATTATCAGTCCTTCTTCCTACAGTACCACATTCAGAATACTTTAAAATAATGTACAGTATAAAGTATAAAGAAGTAAAGTAAGATGTAGATTTGGACTATGTTATTAGTGCCTGTTTCAAAGTTCGTTATTTTTATGGTGGTTATTATCATTCTTGATTGCCACATTTTAAGACAACATAACAAGGCACGAACTATGTATAGGAGGGGAAAAGCAAAATCCCTAAAACTATATCTATATTAAAGAAGTAAGAAACCAAGGAACCAAACACCTTTGCATAGTTCGGCAGCAGCGAATGTGAAACTAAAGTTAAAAGAGTTGTCCTTGTCTTTCTTCAAGATCAGTATTTGAGTAATTAATAGGAAAGTTCCTATTAAAGATATTGCTAAGTTTGTTTAAGAATCAACTTTGTATCCTGTGTGTGTGCTTAAGGTAATTAAGCACGCCAAGTTGTGGCCGCTAAGTACAAATCATATCAGTTTAATAATTACCTGCAATGCGACAAGCTTTTATATCAGATTTTATGAATATGTCATGTTGTAAGAAACCTGTGACTTTATTCTATATTAAATTAATGTGTTTCCTCTGCTTAAGACAACCTGTGCTTAGTAAATTTCAAATTTTCACTTTTTTAATGCTTCATTTTCAAGGCAATACAATTTTTTTCTCATATATTATTTACTTATTCATTTCTTTTTAATTCAGAGGTTTCCTCCATATTTCTGGTTTGATGACATGCCAGCGCCAATCTTTACTTTTGTTCTTGGGAAGGGCGCTTTATTCTAATTAATTTGACATGTCAATGGCATGTTAGGTGTTAAGTAAATTATATGTTAAACTTGGAGGCTGGTTGAAGCAGATACAAAGATACAACAGGCAGAGGATGCTTCGGCCCGACCAAAGCGTAAACTCCTATTATTGTGGCTTAGGATCTTGCCAGGTATTGGTATTTGAATTCGGTATAGTATTTGATCATTTATATTACTTTAGAACCCTGGTTCTCAAACTATGGATCGCAGCCCAAATTTGGGTTGGCAAAACTTTTTCCTGGCTGCGAACTCCTCCTAATTTTCAGAAATATACTTTTTTTGATCCCATAAAATATCATGCCGTGGAATCTAAAGCTTTTTAAAAGTAGACTCTGCGTGTAGGGAGTTATATCATAATTTTCGATGTTGATTGCATAAGAATCAGCATGGTTATATATATACAGTACTACATTCTAAAATTAAATGCAAGCATGCATCGTAGCGATATGGTCTGTGTTGGCTAGGTGTATCCTCCAGTGATCACATAGCAGATATTTCTTCTTTCCAATTGCAAATCAATTTTTTAGTTGGAGGAAACATTTGTAATATTGCAGCACAGAATAAGATTAAAAAACACATATTTTAAGTTTTTAAGTTCAAACATTCTGAACATGAGTAGTGTGTGTGATTGATTCTGTTCACATCGACCTCCGAGTTTCATCGTCTGTACCTAAAAGATGTCTCCACATCTGTCAATATAACATTGATTTCTGAGACTTTAGATTTGTATTTTGTCTTTCAAAATATATGATTGAAAAAAAAAATGTAGAAAGTTTAGTTTTAAAATGGTTTTTGAGTTTCAAAGTTAATTACATGGAGTCAATTTGTATATACTGTAACTTGCTTGTCTTGTTATAGGTTCGATCCCTGTATATGCTATAGTTTTTCTCTTGCATAAAACTAACCCATAATTCATTAGTCAGTCTGACAGACTCAGTAACCATGTATCTGTTCAGTTTGACTCCAACCCTTCCCTTTTTGCCTAATTCACTTATCTTATTTTTCTTTTCTATCTGGGTCTTTTGTTGTCTTTTTTTGGAGAAATCTTGGCTTGTGCTTTGAACCCTAAAGGAAAGGTGCATTATAAATGAACAGTAACAGTATTATAACAATCTTCAATCTTTTAACACAAATCCAAAATTCTAAATGCCGACCACACATGAGAGCATCTAAAATTTGGAGGTCCTAAAAAGTCGTCTTGAAATCGAGCACGAACTATAATTACGAAAACAGATAGATATAAATTAAGACTGCCTCAGCCTGAAATTGAGTAATGTCCTAGGTTATGTAGTTTTGTTAGTTTACTGCAGCTGGTAGAAAGGGGAATCAATAGACATGCGTTATAGTAGGCAAAGTGTGGTCTATATAGGGAAGTGAACGTCCCTACCCTTGATGAGTTCCTGGTTCCCTCAAACCCGGAGGATAGTACCTAAAAGAGTCCCATCCTGGGTTACGGAAAATATGCAAATACTTCATTTTAAATTAATTTTTTAAAATTTAAAAATTGTTTTAAAATAAAAAATTAATAAATTAAAAAGAAATGCCACACATCCTAAACTTTAGTGCACTGGTTGTAAATCATATTGGGCTAGATGGAAAAGCCTTCAGCATTGAAGTTTATCCATTAATAATAGAAGAAGAAGAAGAACCAAATTATATTAAACTTAGTTCAAAATGATGGAGCTAATGATTAGTATCAAAATATTTTTGAATGTGTACAGAAATCTAAATTCTATTGTGTCTAATATGCCTATTATATGAAAATAGAACATAATCATTTTGATTTTATCATTGTCATTTTATTTGATTAATTAATTAAATTGGGATTATTTCGCTAGAAACAATAACAGATAACAAACAATCATTCGTTTTTATGGTACATTTATAATACAATGTATATTTTATAAGGATTATTTGACTGAATTTAATTGAGAATTAAAAATTAATCATTTCCTGTATTTTTTTTTATATTAAGATTAAGACAACCTCATCTGTTTATTTTTTACCTCCAGACGGAACTCTACTGGCTTGTAGTAGGCAATGGCCAAAGATCCCTTGTGTAAGTAAACATTTGTTTTATATTTGTACAGTTATCTGGCATAATAATGTATTAAAGGAATATAGAGCTCTTTGCATTCACCCTAATAATGCTTTGGAAATTATTCTAGGTTACAGGTTAAATATTCTACATGACCTGAATAATTAGGTTGCTTGATAAAGTAAGAGGAATGTGATACTAGTGACGAAATTCCAGTGATAGAGAATTTTGTTGTTTCGGCTACTTATTCATTATGAAGATATTGTTCAACTTCAACCAACAATCAAATTATTATTATTAAACCGAAATTTGGAAATAAACTCATAGAAATATAATCGCTTACCTTAGAGAAGCAAAAGAAATAGGAAATGGTTAACTTATTTTTCCGATATAGTGCATAAAGTGAAAGTTAAAGGTTAGGGTTAAGTTGGCTCCACCAATCAATACCTCAGATTTGCGAAAAATTGTCTGAAAAGTAACCACAACCCAAAGAAATACTTACTTCACTTCAGGAAGATGGCAATGCAAAATAGTTGGTAATTCTTAGAATATTTGATAAATGAAAATATGAATTAATTGGAAAAGGCAGCAGTATTTAATAATGTTTGGAATGGTAAATGAGTATAGGATCCTGAGACTGAATAACTACTGTACCTCATATGTTATGTCTTAGAATTTCTAAATTTTACGAAAAAACATTTTGAGTCCGCACCCACTTCAGCCCCACCATGGTTGGGGAAGATTTAACGATAACACCACCAAAAAATGCCCAGTTTCAAATGTTTGGCGTTAGCTTTTAACTACTTTCATACAAATGGTATTTTTACTAATTTGAAAGGGCATTTCTAAGAAAAGAGGGAATTCATTTGCACCCCCGGGCTATAGGCTTACATGTTGATGTATTAAAACATTTTTTTTTCTTTTCTCAGGGTGTGAAGACTGTGGAAAGAGCCATGTAGGGGAATGTCCAGTGCATGGTTCCTTGACGCGTGTTAGAGACAAAGTGATCCCATCCCATGCTCGTCTTACGCTTCCACATCATATGGTCTTAAAAGAGTTGGAGCTTCGAACTGGAAATCAACAAAGTAAGCCTTTTTGCAATACATAGTGGTTACATAAACTGGGACACAGTACTTGAAGTTAAGGAATTATCTCTCTCCATACTTTCATAGATGGAGATGGAGTTTAAGGAAACTGAAGTGCAGTACTAGTGTTCATGATCCCAAATTGAGATTTGAGTTTGGTGTTTGCAAGTTGTCCATGCCTGGGACTTAAACAAGTCTGGAATGACATCTTACCATATTTTTTTTTAAGGTTTCTGTACCTTTCCTCATTCAGGTTTTGACCATCATTAAGTTTTACTTTCTTGAGGCAACCTACTAAAAGATTCCTGCAAAAATCCTAACACTCTACACTGATAAGTACCTACTGTATATGCAGTGTAGAACTTTATATATGTGGTGACGACAAAAACAACAAGGAGATGGGGAGGGGTAGAAGGTTTTGTCCGTAATTAATAGCACATTATGCTTATAAACGAATTCATTCAATTTGTGTGTATTGTGTAAATAGAATGTGGTAAACGTCCTCAAATGAAATACTGTATATGCTCGTGTATAAGGCGATCCACGTATAAGACGACCCCAGTTTGAGAAGATTTTTGAACGTTTTTTTTATGTCGTGCATATCAGATGACCACGTTTTACCGTCAGAATTCCTAATTTTTGCTTCTCTTAATGATATTGATATTGCATCTAGGTGGCTAAAAACATAGCCAAATATAGGGATTATCTTCCAAATAATAACATTTTATGGACTTTAGTCTGGATCTCACAAGAGACCTAGTATCCGGATCGGGAGCTAACCGTTAGCGCTAACTGTTAGCACCTGTGTGAGAACACATGATCGGTTAGCGCTAACCATTAGCAGTATCCGGATACTACTAACGGTTAGCAAGCGCTATCAGTTAGCAAGTTGAGCGCGTTTTTATCATCAACCAATCACACATACGCGTTTACAATTTCCAGTTTCTTATTGGCTAGTGATTCGATCATCATATTCTTGGTATCCAGATTGGAATCTTCTCGTATGGACGCACGGCAGCTGACGGTTAGCAGGATCTGGATCCTGCTAACCGTTAGCTGCCGATGAGAAATATACTTCATGATATTCGTCAAAATCTTATTTCCCCGTATTTAAAATTGTGTTCACCCATACTAACAGTTAGCTTCATTTTATTAGTAACTTTGTGTGTTACGAACGATCCGCACATAAGACGAACATGATTTAAAAATCAAACATTTATATGTGTTGCTCGTATAAAGGCGATCCTTTGTTTTTCGATTATAGTTTAATTTGTCTGATTAAGTAAGCAAAATGTTGCCAGTTGGTATACAACATTATGTTTTAATAACATTAGATTGAATATATAACTTAATGTTACAATATAATGCTATTATGACAATTTAAAAAAGCCTGCATGCTACCTGCTTAAATAAATTAAATATATATAAAACATGAAAATAAAATATATAAAAAATAGGTGAAAGTTGAAGAAATTGAAAATTTGCAAAGATGAATGAATTTCTTTTTGTAATTTTATGAATATATGTGGGTTTTTGCATATTTTTATGTGGGGAAATGTAATGGAAAACTACTCAAATTTCTTTAAAAAATAGAAGACAATGCTATGTACTTTTATTAAGTTTTATGATATCCATGATTTGACCATATATGGACGTGATATGTCATCTTACAATACGTAGTGTTTGACTTGGTATAGCGCATCAACAAAGTTTTAATGCACCCGAGTGAAAAAATAAATGAATGAAAAACAGAACTATACCAAGAGTGTGGACGAATCTTTGTACGGTAGGTACGTGACTATAGAGTTGCATGCTATATTTATTCGAATAAACACCCCATTTTTAATAGATTCTCCCTAAAATAAATGCTCACCTGTAGATCATCATTTGGAATAAGTACCTCCCTTGCATAAACACCTGAACCATTTATTTTCTTCACCAAAACAAAAATAAACATTACTTTTGTACATTCGGTACAGCCTCATGACGCTGCAAGTAATATGAAAGGAGGTACTAGGGTTTAATAATATAATTTTAATAAATATACTTTTAATAAATTCTCCCCAAAATAAATGCCCACCTCTAGATCATCATTTAGAATAAGTACCTCCCTCGAATAATGCCCTGAACCATTAATTTTTTTCACCAAAACAAAAATAAACATTACTTTTGTACGTTCGTTATAGCCTCATGATGCTGCAAGTAATATGAAAGGAGGTACTAGGGTTTAATAATATAACTTAAAGTTGTGATTACCTTGAAAACGGTTTCGGTCTATTTGACCCTTCTCAGTTTAGGTAATAGAGTTGGTAGGATCGAGGACTTGATGGGAGTTTCAGCGTCATGGAGCTGTACCGAACGTACAAAAGTAATGTATCGATCAAAGCACTATGTACTATACATAATATAACATCAAATCTTATAAAAATAAACAGCTCCCTCAAACATACGCCTCCCTCGTAATCCCTGTCAAAAACCCTTCTCAAACAATAAACGCCCCTTGGCGTTTATTCAAATATATAGAGTACAGTATTTTGTTTTCAGCATAAAACTTTCTGAAGGTGAACTTTTGATTTGTCTTATTGGGTTTTCAGGTGAGTTATTTATGTCATTATATATATGTATATATATGTTTTTCATAGGACTTTATTCGTTGAAAAGCTACAGGGTAGCCTACGATGTTCCATCATGTCCTTATTAAACCCTGTATATGTACCTTTGATGATTTATATATATATATATGGCAATATATTGTGAGCAAGGCCTGTCTTTTATACACATGTCAAAATCTTATTTCCCCGTATTTAAAATTGTGTTCACCCATACTAACAGTTAGCTTCATATTTTTATTAGTAACTTTGTGTGTTAAAATTGTATTTAAAAATCAAACATTTATATGTGTTGCTTGTATAAAGGCGATCCTTTGTTTTTCGATTATAGTTTAATTCGTCTGATTAAGTAAGCAAAATGTTGCCAGTTGGTATACAACATTATGTTTAACATTAGATTGAATATATAACTTAATGTTACAATATACAGTAGAACCCCTCATTTACCTGTCTCTTATACACATCTGTATCTGGATACTACTAACGGTTAGCAAGCGCTATCAGTTAGCAAGTTGAACGCGTTTTTATCATCAACCAATCACATGCATACGTTTACAATTTCCAGTTTCTTATTGGCTAGTGATTCGATCATCATATTCTTGGTATCCAGATTGGAATCTTCTCGTATGGACGCACGGCAGCTGACAGTTAGCAGGATCTGGATCCTGCTAACCGTTAGCTGCCGTATGAGAAATAGACTTCATGATATTCGTCAAAATCTTATTTCCCCGTATTTAAAATTGTGTTCACCCATACTAACAGTTAGCTTCATATTTTTATTAGTAACTTTGTGTGTTAAAATTGTATTTAAAAATCAAACATTTATATGTGTTGCTTGTATAAAGGCGATCCTTTGTTTTTCGATTATAGTTTAATTCGTCTGATTAAGTAAGCAAAATGTTGCCAGTTGGTATACAACATTATGTTTAACATTAGATTGAATATATAACTTAATGTTACAATATACAGTAGAACCCCTCATTTACCTGTCTCTTATACACATCTGTATCTGGATACTACTAACGGTTAGCAAGCGCTATCAGTTAGCAAGTTGAACGCGTTTTTATCATCAACCAATCACATGCATACGTTTACAATTTCCAGTTTCTTATTGGCTAGTGATTCGATCATCATATTCTTGGTATCCAGATTGGAATCTTCTCGTATGGACGCACGGCAGCTGACAGTTAGCAGGATCTGGATCCTGCTAACCGTTAGCTGCCGTATGAGAAATAGACTTCATGATATTCGTCAAAATCTTATTTCCCCGTATTTAAAATTGTGTTCACCCATACTAACAGTTAGCTTCATATTTTTATTAGTAACTTTGTGTGTTAAAATTGTATTTAAAAATCAAACATTTATATGTGTTGCTTGTATAAAGGCGATCCTTTGTTTTTCGATTATAGTTTAATTCGTCTGATTAAGTAAGCAAAATGTTGCCAGTTGGTATACAACATTATGTTTAACATTAGATTGAATATATAACTTAATGTTACAATATACAGTAGAACCCCTCATTTACCTGTCTCTTATACACATCTGTATCTGGATACTACTAACGGTTAGCAAGCGCTATCAGTTAGCAAGTTGAACGCGTTTTTATCATCAACCAATCACATGCATACGTTTACAATTTCCAGTTTCTTATTGGCTAGTGATTCGATCATCATATTCTTGGTATCCAGATTGGAATCTTCTCGTATGGACGCACGGCAGCTGACAGTTAGCAGGATCTGGATCCTGCTAACCGTTAGCTGCCGTATGAGAAATAGACTTCATGATATTCGTCAAAATCTTATTTCCCCGTATTTAAAATTGTGTTCACCCATACTAACAGTTAGCTTCATATTTTTATTAGTAACTTTGTGTGTTAAAATTGTATTTAAAAATCAAACATTTATATGTGTTGCTTGTATAAAGGCGATCCTTTGTTTTTCGATTATAGTTTAATTCGTCTGATTAAGTAAGCAAAATGTTGCCAGTTGGTATACAACATTATGTTTAACATTAGATTGAATATATAACTTAATGTTACAATATACAGTAGAACCCCTCATTTACTAACCCCGATTTTACGAATTCCCGATATTACGAACGTAATATAAAGGGGATGGCGTCATAAAAATTTAAGCGAAAGATTAAAAAAAAAAAACCCGCTCGAATTGTACCTGTTATTACCATGCATACAACACAACACACCATACTATACAGTACTATGAAATTCTCAAGTGAAGGAGGCCCTCTAACAGGCCTCTTCAAAGTCAGTGTTTTTATGGCTTCACACATGTGCATGCGACAAATTTTACTTCTCTTTCAAACATCGTTTTTAGCTTTAAAATTCAACATAGTGCTTGATTATTTTATTGAATGATCAATATATATAATAAA